GGCAGAGAGCGCATGAAGCGAGTATCTGTGTCATCAGCATTGACTGCATCACTTCTCAGATTGCTACGATGATCAGCCAACTCACTTGACCTATGCATCATCCGTGGCCAAAAGTGTTCTCATTAGTGCAAGCGTCCTTTCGGACATGTGGGTGGTCCAGGTATTAACAGTGGCGAGAGGCAGGCTCTGCACAATGGGTGTGACACGTGAAGAGTGGGCGTTGACAGCGGTGTGAGGTAAATGAGAAGAAGGTGAAAGAGATGCGTGGGGGTGAGCGGCCTGGATTGTGCATTGCTCAGCAATGCGCCTACATGTCTATTTTTGTTTCGATAGTCACTCACTTTAAATAGCATCAAATTTAAAAAAAGGTAATTCTTCTAACCCCGCCCTGTGATCACATGTGCCATACTTTGATGTTCAGCCCATTCGTTTCGAACTGTTGCAATGTGAAATGCTCAAACATTTCATTTGGATGTCAACAGCGGTGTGTGGTCCATTCTAAATGCAGGTCAAGGAGTGTGCTCACTCCAGCCATCACTAGCTTTGCCTAACACTCACAGGAAAGCTGATAAACGCCTTCGACCTAAAGGGAAAGGGGAGGGTTGTTAGGATGCTTGCGTCGAATTGTCACACAGATGCGTTGACTGCCAATCAGACTGTTGGGCTATGACATGAAGTTAATTAGGGGTTAATATCATCTGGTCGAAAGCGCAGGACAATGACCTTCCTGTAACCCCTTATGAGGCAGTCTTTCTCGCCATTGCCAAATGCGAACCACGCACTGGTTTTAACTTCGGTGGCATCGCGTGGATTTGGCACCGAGGAGAGGAATTGGTGGTATGTGCCTGCAGTTTAATGCGTCTGCTCGCTTCATCCACCTCATTCTGTCGGTAAACACGTGCAGTTGAAAGTAAATGCGCCTCCTAAATCAAGAGCAAGTTGCATAAGCTGTCAGTTCCCCAAAGGTGTGTTTATTGGAATACCCATCATTCAGTCATAGGTGGATGCCGTCGCCTGAAAACATCACACTCACTTGACCCATTGTCTACTACAACACTTTCGGTGATAACATCCAGCCTAAGCAGCAAATACCGTTCTCGTCAAACAGGAAGCTAATCGCTTTACTACAAATGTTGAGAAGAATAGAGACGCAAGTGTTGCAGTGTTTCATGAAGGGCTTGTGCAATAAGGCGGTTTCAGGTCATTCAGTGGCAGAGCATGTAGCGTTTGGGAGAAATGAAGGGCACGGAAGTATGAAACATGCTGATTTTGTAATTGCAAATCAGAGAGCGCAGCAAACCACTCATCGATGTTTTGAGGGAATTTAGTGTCATTTGATGAGTAAGAAGAGGGAAGCGGTGAGTGTGAGGGTCGTGTGTGCTACATGAGTCACAGCAATGACTGGGCAGACCGCACTACCATCAAGTCAATTTGATGTGGCAAAATAGTGGATGACTTCTGATGTCCACGTAATCGAAGAGTTGGAATTGCATGTGGATGGTGGTAGTGGATGCCGGGCGATGTGTCACGTTAAGTAGGCTTAAATGAGGAGGTACACCACGTGGCAATTTCCTGCTAACTTACTGTGAACCATGCGCAGATTCGCAAGTAACTCAATCAGCACAAGCGGCCATTACCCCCTCATCATATCCGCACGGCGGCCTAATGGAGCCTCCACTAAATGATTTCATGTCGGAGGATGCGTCAACTTCATGCCATCTCCTTATTTGTTCATTTGTGCACTGGTCACTTGAAGAGCGCCAATGAATGTGCGCAAATGGCTGAAATGATCATGGAGTGGTGTAATGATGAAGGGTAGCAATTTCATCTGCCTTCTTGTCTTGCTGCCCACTTTTAACACACTAGTCTCGCCTTAAGTTAGCCACTAACGAGAAGCAATTCTCGGAGGAGCTGAGGACGATGCCAGCACTGAAGTAGCGAGCACTGCACAGAATGGCGTTGCATTGAGTTGTATATTTGCCAACATGTACCCTGGCCTCTTTCATAATTGTGAGTCTCACGGCGTTTGCAGGGGTGATTGGATAGCCACACAAATTTAGCCTTGCATAACGTGAGACGCTGGCAGAATAGATGAGAGGAAGAGCCTAGTGGAAGCGACATTTTGGACAACATCTACTAACACTTAAACCACTTGCCGATTCCGCGTTTTATTCCTTTGGGATTCATTTCTGCGATTTCAGTATTGTAAGCAATGAATTGCACCACTTGGCGTGTTTACTGCACACCAAGTTAGTGGTTAAAAATCTCACCGAATGGAAGTTTGCTGCCAAAATACTTGTGTTTGATTGGAAAATGGCGACCAGACATATTGCTTGACCTATTCCATGTTTTGTATTAAAGCTGTGCAAAATCCAATTTCTCACATCACACAGCTCCATCTCGGTCCTTCAGCCACTTCATTACGTATCGCAGTACCCAGCCATTTCCTAGATCCTTCAGTTACATCATTTATTCATGACTAAAATAGTGTAATAGCCATTTTTCAGGCGCAACTGGCATTAGTTACGATGGGTAAGGAGATGATCATGAGGCAAATTATGGAGAGAAGTAATGCGACAACAAATCTCACAATTAGCATTCAACATTGCTATGGAACAACTGAATAAATTCCTTTTAAACTCGATTTGCAGGATAGGACTAAAAGGAAAGAGAAGAAGCTAATTAGCATTGGTGGTGAAGAGGGTGTTGAGGAGGGCGTTGACCTAGTCAAGTTGATTGTGTGGCAAGCGCTGCAACAAATCAGCGATCGCGGTGAGCCAGTGAGACGGGTCTATATAAGGTGCTCGTTGTGGCGCTATGCACCAACACTCAGTGCTTGCCTCTTTCGCCAATGCATCGACTTCGCTTTGTGGGGTACGAGAGATGTGGGACAGAGAACGAGAAAACTGGAGCATTGTGGTACGCCTTCCATGTCTGAATACTACCTGCATCGGTAGGCTAGATGCTAGCAATGCACGCATCACACTTGCTGACTTGAAACTCCCAATTCAATATCACTTGCTTACTGAGCTGATCACTAGACCAGTCTAGTGAGACAGGCAAATCTCTTTGAATTCTGTGCTCCAACAAGCCTCTTTGCGCTCCTCTCCCTTCCTGATCAACGTATATCTGTTTGTTTTGCAAGCTAAGCAAGATCCATCTGTCCACTCATCTATTCCAAATTAGTCCTCCTCAGTAATCCTTTCTCAGTGTTTCATTGGATTGATAGACCTGGCCTTAAAGTGAAAAGCCTTTGCGCAGACAAAGTCACGTAGTCTTGTCGATTTTACTATTTTTAGCAGCCGCAGAGACAGACGTATTTGGCTGGTGTGTGCGTACGTGTTAGTGACTGTCCTTCTCATCCACGGAATTAACATGAGTAGCAGGAAGTCGCGACTTCAGGTACCCAAACATATTTTAGTAAGTGCTTCGCTTCTTCAGGGGAGTCGCCAACCGGTCGTGAACTCTCTAGGTCGAAGTGGAATGATGTGTTACTTTAGTGAGGAGCATTATTGGGAGCTATCTCTATTAGCATGGCAGAGTAGTGCTGATTTCCTGCTACCAGAATAGCAGAGGAAAATTAATCGAAATAACTCATATGTTCCGTTGTCTTTGTTTTGTTCTTTGGTTTCACTTTAACTCGCCCCGTTTTAGACGTACCCATTACTGACTCTGTTAAGACGCCCGTACGCGGTGTACTCGAGCAGGCCAGCCAATCGGGCCACTCAAGACGGTTGGGTGACCAATATGTGGCTTGGGGATGGGGTACATCCAAGCCTATGAAATGGCGCGATCCTACTGGCTACGGAGGGATGACAAATCCGTCAGTAGAGTTGTGGGGATAAGCCCACATTTTGCACAAACAAGTGGTTGCTCAGGCGACTACTATTGACAAATAAAGCGCCACCTACTCTCGCATCTTGTCTTCTCCCTGACTTAAAGGGGCCTCAATGAAACTACAGCAAGAGCAGGATAGGACAGCCTAATGTGGAGCCAGTAGCAAACCTGATGGACAAACCAACTGAATGGAGGAATTCCACCGCCTCTGTCAAACGAGCACTAGAGGCAAAAATGTCTCCTCAAGCTTATATTTTTATCATTAAGCTAAGATCATTTACACATGCTTACTGCATGTCATACTATCCCTTTTTGAGAGAAACATTTTCACAGAGATAGTATAACTAGCCAAATTCCGAAGGACAATGTGGTGGTAGCAGATGCTGGATCGTTTACTCACAGTACTGGAGTTCTGACTCCGAACCAGAATTAGATGCGCTTCTTAGTCTGTGGTGAGCACGGCGACACTTATGACGCTTGCCCACTGCTTCGCTGATCCTTCAGGAGCAACGATGCTAGACAAGGACGGAAGCACCGTCATTAGATTGGCCGAAGAGACGACTGCCTATCATTCACATTATTTTGTTTCAGGCCATAAAATGTACCTTTGAAGTAACACTACTAGAGAAGGAGTAGCTGGGGTGGTGAACTTACAGAGCCATTCATGTTGAACAAAACGAATAATCGCTTGCACCTCTCAAAATCGACCGTTCTTTTTTAAACTGTTGGAATAGAGGTTCGGACACACCCTTGTGGCTTATAACAGGTTTGGGAGCATCTAGTTTGCTAAAATGGATTAAAATTGGAAAGACGGGACATTCACGGTGTGCAGTAGTATGAGTTGTCAGCAGAGCACACAAAGATGTTTGGACCGTTTGTGGAGAAGAAATTGGAACTGGGTTGTACTCGCATGCAGACTTAGAGCGGTTGAGGCAGTGAAATGCGCCATTCACTGTAAGCAGAGCTGAGAAAACAGTTTTGATTTCCATCAGCACTCCAGTTATGAGGGCGAGACTGATGACAAACTTGTGGGCACGCAAATTTGACGTGTCCCAGGCTGGTTTCCACGTGCGCCATGCGTACGAACCACTGGGTCATCGTTGACGTCCACTCTGCTTCGCTTCGCTACATGCCGCGACTACAGCATCCCAGATTTGGGATTTTCAAACCAAGCAGGATTGAAAACCCAAAGTTTGTTGTGCTTTACATGACATGAAATTAAATGAAGCAGCAGTACCCATTGGATGCAAACATAACAGAGGTGGCAAAGCACCATGCCTGTAGTCACCAAGATTGAACAAAAGAGGAGGGAGTTGAATGAAACTCGATGCTCACCTCTCAAAAGCCATTCCAATTGCCCGACTAATCTCGGTAGCATTCTTAGTGAATTTTTGTAGTCTTTAAACATGCACGAGGAGTGAACTCGGTGTAGTAGGCTAATGGTAATCGGCCCTTCCTCTCGACACCACGACTTGAAAGCCTACCAATTGGATTAACAGAGATCGGACGGCATCAGATCCTTTCCATCCGGCTGTAATTTGCCCATAGCGCGAAATTGGCAGCATCTTCATACAAATTGTTTTAGGTTAGAAAAAAGAGCAATTTAATGAAAATAGGAAGCCCACAAGTTAAATGCACGGCAGTAAACGAAGTGAAGGGGTGAAACGGCCTCAACTCGAATGATTTGTTTAACATACTAAAGGCAGTAGGTGGTTTTGTTCTGATAGGTGTCATTTCGTGAAATCATGAGAAATCGTGCAACATACGTGCCTACTCTTCACCAGTTAAGCTAGTCCAGTCCAGGATTTACAGAAGACTGGTGGGCGCAGATTATCGTAATTCATGTAGGCGTGTAGCGAGATACGATTTCTGAAGTCCAGATGGAATGCTCATGACGAAAGGATACAACTCTTCATTGAGGGGTGTAGATTAGCTTCGCCTGATTTTGTGGGTCCTGCTACATTAATGCAGGTTTTACTCACCGAGATAATTCAAAAGTCAAATCCACGGTAACTTCCTTGGGTTTATGTTATTGACTCCACCAATTTGTAAAATGATTACCAAAACTCTGGAAAATAACATATTTGTTTACTGAGACGACCGTATAAACTCAACCGAACCAGCTTGAACGTTCCATCAACTATTAGGACAAATGTGGACTTTTTAGTTTACCTTACGTTACTATGCCAGCCGAAGGTTTGAATTCACAGATCAGAGCATCATTGATGAAGAGGGCAATTTCCTCAATGGAACATACTCGGGTGATAGTACTTCATGTCATCGTCCGCCCATTGTATATTCAGACAACTGCTACATTGACAACCATCGGTTTTCACCCTCACACCAAGCCGTGGCCATGTAGAATGGACGTACCCACTGGATTTACCGGTAGAGATTCAGAGGGACTTTCTTATAGTCGGTGAAACCCGATATTATTGGTGCAGCAGTAGGGTACTTATATGGCTCACGATAGGAGTTGAGGAGGAGAATCACCTACTCCCCTACCCAAGCGCGATGCATTGTTTGAGCAATACCACCCTCTCCATCCACCATAATGCTTGGATGACAACCTTAAAAAGGCGATTCTATATCCGCGGTCCATTTAAGTCATTCAGCAGAGCCATTTTGGCCATTACATCCTTTTGCTTTGTCGGACACCACAGAAGCAGTGGCGTGAAGTAACCTCCATTGGAAAGGCCAGGCTTCAGTCCTCCACATAGCTCTGCAAACAACATACTCGCCTACTTTCCATCACTTAAGCTGGTCCTTTAAACTGTCTGAGTCGCTGCATTGGCTCCAGCTCATCTTATGACGCAGTTTCTTTTCCCCTCACACCGCATAGTAATTTTAGGGGAGTCCATCTTTCTCTCTTGCGTTTAAATCCGCGTATATTCGCATTACGGAATAGAAAGCTAGCGAATAAAGTTGACTCAAACTGCTCCGAGTCGAAGTTCAGCTTTTATTCACCGTTACCGCTTTCAAATCTCAGGGCACTTCAAAGAGGCTATAAATCTTGCCTTAAAGTGGAGTTTCGCCGAGACAGCTAGGACGCAATTGGAATTACACGATGAAACAACCATTTGTGATGACGCAGATTCGAGGCTCACAAACGCCACTGACTTGTCACTCCATGCAAAATGAAGTGTCAATTGCTCACCGTAGGTGGACCCCATTTTTACAACTAGTGCTACCTATAATAGCTTATTTATTACCTCCAATAACTTAATTGTTGCCAGGGCAAAATATCACCATATTTGGCTTTTACAGCGATGGTTAAAGAGACCGGATGAGTCTCACATAAATCTGTCATTCATGGCAAAGATTTGTGCCTGATCCACCCTTTCAAATCCCTCATTTTAAAGTGTAAATGGTATGTAGGAAATGAATTTGCATTTTTAAGTAGGTAAGTCGGTACTGCTCTCTCCCACCTCTGTCGCCATACTCGTGAACGAGGAGGACAGGTTTAATGGAGGGGTACAGAAATCATGGTTTAAGCATGTTCAGCGTGCGTTTCCTCCTCAAACAAAGCCCCTCGCCCAAAAGGCACATTCGCACAGACGCATTTTAGAAACACTTCACAAGTGCTTATGCATCGAATTGCCTGAATAACAGTGGAAAACCTCCCAAATTTCATCAGCAAGCTGCTGCTCCTACAGTCTGTTGCCACATTAATTACCTTTCACGGTGTGGTCAACCACCTGCACTGTGATAATTGCAACATACGAATTTGTGTGCTTTCAGCGCATTATTTAAAGTCAAGAAAGTGTGTGGTCGACTGTCCAGATGTTCTTCTTCATTCGTTAAGCTGAATACATGGCCACATTCAACAAGTCAATTTTGTTCCCCAATTCTGGTGGAGGATGCTTGTGCTCGTACCAAAGACGCTGAAAGTGGAATTAGGAATGGTTTTACTCGACCTCAATGCACCGCCCCAACCTAGTTTCTACACGCTGACAGCGGAAACTGTGGTTAAAGGAAAAGAAAAAGCCTCTGGACTGGTATCAGCTTCCTGTAGCCAAAGCGCGGGTGCTCTCTTCTGATCTCAATTTGCTGTCAGTCACAACGTATTTGTCGTTGTAACAGCACTCCTTAGGGGCGTTCACAGTGCGCACTGAGAGGAGGTCGAACAGTATCAACCACAGCAAAGAAGAATGACAAATGCAGAAGATGGAGATGGATTAGTGAGAGTCGGCACTGTGTGCGAGGAGGGGTGTGTGAGTGAATTGGTGTAGGTGTTACTTGAGGCAGGATGCATGCGAAGATCGGCCAACTTCATCGGTGATGAAGACGTCGACTGACAGTGCATCAGTAACACGTGGTGGAGTAGTAGGCACTGGTTCTCAATGTAAAGAACTGCCATTGTGCTTCATCGCGAAGCAGTTCCCACTGTCCGTTAACAGTGGCGAACAATTGGTAAGCATCTGAATGTTCACAGAATGCTCTTTGTTTTGACGAGGCATTCTATTTGGTTTCACTCAGCAATAATTTATGAAAATGTTTTCCTCATATATTCACATATGGCCAAATTCTCTCAACACAATTATGCAAGCTAAGAAGTGTGCTAAACACATTCCACAACGAGCGAGGTAGTCGCAGTTGGCACAGCTACCACCAACTCGGTGTGAATTGGAAATAAGTGTACCTCACATTCCCAAATGTTTCTGTTTACGGCCTTTTGCTAGCAATCTACCTACTTCTCGAAATTTTATCCTGCATGATGAAGTGGCAATAAAACAGTCTTTTGAGGGTCCAGATGAATGTGTGTGTGTGTGTGTGTGTGTGTGTGGGTGTGTGGTGTGGGGGTGGTACAATTGAGTCAGGTGATTTGGCAAACGCATCAGTCATGCATGTGTGGGTGTAGGCGCATGAAGAGGAGCTATTAATGGATTTTACCACAAATAGTTGTCGATGATAAGCACACACAGACTGAAATCGGAATGAAGTGAGCAAGAACAGAATGAGAGCTTATCATTGCATTGCTTGGAACAAGCGGCTGGTCATTTGAATGCACTCCTGATGTTCACTTGTGCTTGCAGAAACTTTCACGCTTGCAGCATCTGAAGTGCCCTGAAAGCAAAACAGTGAGGCCAGCTGTCGAAGAGGGCCATATTCCCTTCAGGCTGTGGAAACGAAATGCATCAGTAAAGAGGAATCACCGTGGAGTAGAAGTAGGCGATTGCCTTTCAATGCATGACAGATGATTCTGTTTAGACACCTGCAATGACTGCACATTCGTGTGCGGCAATTCATGTTTCTTCTCCATTCATCGCTGCAGGTGATAGGTGACAAAGAGTGATAGCACGGGCAGGCGGCAAGTGGGTTCAGCAGCATGTAGTGCCTCAAGAGAGTTTGATGTGTGAAGTAAAGTTCAGGCGAATTGGATGATGCTTTTAGTCATTGTGGAGGTGGTGTGGACTGCAAGTAGTTAGAGAGGAAACGGCAGAGGAAGGACTGCCACCTGAACAAATCATCGTCTACCCACAAAATTGACAGTCGCATGCCTCCGCCGACGAAGGAAATAGTGGCACATTTCGAAATACGTGGTGGACACAAACCGCACAGTGTGCATTACGCTTCTGTAAGAGTGAAATAGAAATGACACAACTCACACAGCTTTGTCAATTTTGCAGCTCAATTGGAGTGGATCGAGCAAGTTGTGCAGTCCACGCCTACCAAATTCCTTTTTCTAATTGCTGAACACACGCCACCATCTCAATCACGGAAGGTTTGATGGGGTTTGAAATTTGGCTGTGTGGGCCAGAATAACAGTGATGAAATAACCCCGTAATCTGATGCGAAACGCATGTGCCACAGAAAGTTGGCAGAGTCGTAAATCGAGGCACCTGATTCATGTAGTGTTTGAAACGGAATGAGGTGGTAGTGTGTTGCAGCTCATCCGTGCAGCATGGTGCACGCAATTTGGGGCAACGCTTCTGGTGTACATGACAACTCCAACAGACGACAACGGATGCACTACAACTAACAAAGGCGTCCCTCATTTGTCGAATGTTCTCCTGCAAGACCTCACAACCATATTAAGCTAATTGTGGGATGAAGGACATCTCGTCTAAACGGATCAAGCTAAATGAACTCCACGCTCTACACAACTCAGTTTGCTTCTCAATGCTTCTGTTGCACCAATCGTGTTGGCGGCAACGCTTTTAACATTCAAAGCCGGAGAGAAGACAGGGTTAGTCGATCGTAGACAGGAGTGCCAACAATGCAGCAGTTGAGGAGGGCAGGCAGTATTGTATAGGGGTAGTTCTTGGGGGGTCGTTCACCAACCTCGCAAGAGCATTACCATCGCCATACATGATGCAGCTGCCTGCATGTGGAATGCCAGCAACCACTCAACACCGCCTCTGTGGGAGGAAACTGAACCCTACACTGTATGGGGCGTGTTGGGGAGAAAAGCGTGCATTGTGGCTGCTCACCGTAAGTGGACTCTATTGTTGCAAGTGGAACAACCGACAATTGCTTTATTATTCCCAAGCTTAAATATCACCATGTGCAGCTCACCACAGCGATGTTTGGAAGGCAAGATGGTCTCGATGTAAGTAGCTGATATTGAAATGCAGCTACGGCTGCTGCACCATATCAAGGCTTTCACTGTAATGCGTGGAATGTATTTTGGAAATAAAATGCCATTTCAAATAAGTGTGGTAGGCTCAGCATTCCGCTCCTCAACTTCAGCCTTAGGAGTCCTGGAACGAGGATGGGAGCTGCTGGAGGAGAATATGCTTCAGTGGGTAGTGGCAAGTAAATGGATGCAGACATCACATTTAAGGCGTGTTTGAGATACGTCTCCACCAAGCAAAACCTCTCTCCTGGAAGGCACATTCGCGCAAACTTATACTGCAGCTGAACCTGTATGAAACTTTTTTCAAATGAATGGTTAACTGGTACTCATTCATTGCAATTTGATGTCAACAAAGAAGCCAACTAATTGCAACAACATGCCTGTACCGCTGCAATTATTTACCACTTCATGCATGCATGCGAAAGCACGGATGCTCTCTTCATATCCCGATTTGCATACCGGCAATGTCTGCTGCACCGATAATTTGCACAGTGATTGTAGGGATGCGCAACCTGCTTTGTACCACTAAGCAATGCACGCCTCACCAGAAACATGAGCTAACATTCGCTAGTTCTGACAGGAAATGCAAAAGAAGTGATTGGGAATAAGGGATTTGAAGCAGTACAACACACATCGGTAGCCTGCCTCGTATTCATACATCGCGGTTTACCAGTCCATTTTGAACCGAACTTGAGTGAAGACGTCAGCTACTTCGATCTGCCGCATAAGTGGGAGTTGAAGCGAAACACCTAATCATTCAGTTCAAAAATCCACCATTCCACCTACTTGTCTCAGTGTCAGCTAAAGACAAATTAATTAAGCAAACACCATTGCCCTGTTCTGCGACATAGCAATTTCTTCGTGGCCTACTCAATGCCAATTGTGAAGCAGCTGACTGGTAAATTACCACCAAGTGAAAGTGCACCTCAATTGTTGCCAAGACAGCAAGTATGGAATCGTCAATTGCCAAGCCATGGGAGAAGTGGTGAAGAATTGGCAATCCCTCTGACAGTTGGGTGAAGAGGCAGAGAGCGCATGAAGCGAGTATCTGTGTCATCAGCATTGACTGCATCACTTCTCAGATTGCTACGATGATCAGCCAACTCACTTGACCTATGCATCATCCGTGGCCAAAAGTGTTCTCATTAGTGCAAGCGTCCTTTCGGACATGTGGGTGGTCCAGGTATTAACAGTGGCGAGAGGCAGGCTCTGCACAATGGGTGTGACACGTGAAGAGTGGGCGTTGACAGCGGTGTGAGGTAAATGAGAAGAAGGTGAAAGAGATGCGTGGGGGTGAGCGGCCTGGATTGTGCATTGCTCAGCAATGCGCCTACATGTCTATTTTTGTTTCGATAGTCACTCACTTTAAATAGCATCAAATTTAAAAAAAGGTAATTCTTCTAACCCCGCCCTGTGATCACATGTGCCATACTTTGATGTTCAGCCCATTCGTTTCGAACTGTTGCAATGTGAAATGCTCAAACATTTCATTTGGATGTCAACAGCGGTGTGTGGTCCATTCTAAATGCAGGTCAAGGAGTGTGCTCACTCCAGCCATCACTAGCTTTGCCTAACACTCACAGGAAAGCTGATAAACGCCTTCGACCTAAAGGGAAAGGGGAGGGTTGTTAGGATGCTTGCGTCGAATTGTCACACAGATGCGTTGACTGCCAATCAGACTGTTGGGCTATGACATGAAGTTAATTAGGGGTTAATATCATCTGGTCGAAAGCGCAGGACAATGACCTTCCTGTAACCCCTTATGAGGCAGTCTTTCTCGCCATTGCCAAATGCGAACCACGCACTGGTTTTAACTTCGGTGGCATCGCGTGGATTTGGCACCGAGGAGAGGAATTGGTGGTATGTGCCTGCAGTTTAATGCGTCTGCTCGCTTCATCCACCTCATTCTGTCGGTAAACACGTGCAGTTGAAAGTAAATGCGCCTCCTAAATCAAGAGCAAGTTGCATAAGCTGTCAGTTCCCCAAAGGTGTGTTTATTGGAATACCCATCATTCAGTCATAGGTGGATGCCGTCGCCTGAAAACATCACACTCACTTGACCCATTGTCTACTACAACACTTTCGGTGATAACATCCAGCCTAAGCAGCAAATACCGTTCTCGTCAAACAGGAAGCTAATCGCTTTACTACAAATGTTGAGAAGAATAGAGACGCAAGTGTTGCAGTGTTTCATGAAGGGCTTGTGCAATAAGGCGGTTTCAGGTCATTCAGTGGCAGAGCATGTAGCGTTTGGGAGAAATGAAGGGCACGGAAGTATGAAACATGCTGATTTTGTAATTGCAAATCAGAGAGCGCAGCAAACCACTCATCGATGTTTTGAGGGAATTTAGTGTCATTTGATGAGTAAGAAGAGGGAAGCGGTGAGTGTGAGGGTCGTGTGTGCTACATGAGTCACAGCAATGACTGGGCAGACCGCACTACCATCAAGTCAATTTGATGTGGCAAAATAGTGGATGACTTCTGATGTCCACGTAATCGAAGAGTTGGAATTGCATGTGGATGGTGGTAGTGGATGCCGGGCGATGTGTCACGTTAAGTAGGCTTAAATGAGGAGGTACACCACGTGGCAATTTCCTGCTAACTTACTGTGAACCATGCGCAGATTCGCAAGTAACTCAATCAGCACAAGCGGCCATTACCCCCTCATCATATCCGCACGGCGGCCTAATGGAGCCTCCACTAAATGATTTCATGTCGGAGGATGCGTCAACTTCATGCCATCTCCTTATTTGTTCATTTGTGCACTGGTCACTTGAAGAGCGCCAATGAATGTGCGCAAATGGCTGAAATGATCATGGAGTGGTGTAATGATGAAGGGTAGCAATTTCATCTGCCTTCTTGTCTTGCTGCCCACTTTTAACACACTAGTCTCGCCTTAAGTTAGCCACTAACGAGAAGCAATTCTCGGAGGAGCTGAGGACGATGCCAGCACTGAAGTAGCGAGCACTGCACAGAATGGCGTTGCATTGAGTTGTATATTTGCCAACATGTACCCTGGCCTCTTTCATAATTGTGAGTCTCACGGCGTTTGCAGGGGTGATTGGATAGCCACACAAATTTAGCCTTGCATAACGTGAGACGCTGGCAGAATAGATGAGAGGAAGAGCCTAGTGGAAGCGACATTTTGGACAACATCTACTAACACTTAAACCACTTGCCGATTCCGCGTTTTATTCCTTTGGGATTCATTTCTGCGATTTCAGTATTGTAAGCAATGAATTGCACCACTTGGCGTGTTTACTGCACACCAAGTTAGTGGTTAAAAATCTCACCGAATGGAAGTTTGCTGCCAAAATACTTGTGTTTGATTGGAAAATGGCGACCAGACATATTGCTTGACCTATTCCATGTTTTGTATTAAAGCTGTGCAAAATCCAATTTCTCACATCACACAGCTCCATCTCGGTCCTTCAGCCACTTCATTACGTATCGCAGTACCCAGCCATTTCCTAGATCCTTCAGTTACATCATTTATTCATGACTAAAATAGTGTAATAGCCATTTTTCAGGCGCAACTGGCATTAGTTACGATGGGTAAGGAGATGATCATGAGGCAAATTATGGAGAGAAGTAATGCGACAACAAATCTCACAATTAGCATTCAACATTGCTATGGAACAACTGAATAAATTCCTTTTAAACTCGATTTGCAGGATAGGACTAAAAGGAAAGAGAAGAAGCTAATTAGCATTGGTGGTGAAGAGGGTGTTGAGGAGGGCGTTGACCTAGTCAAGTTGATTGTGTGGCAAGCGCTGCAACAAATCAGCGATCGCGGTGAGCCAGTGAGACGGGTCTATATAAGGTGCTCGTTGTGGCGCTATGCACCAACACTCAGTGCTTGCCTCTTTCGCCAATGCATCGACTTCGCTTTGTGGGGTACGAGAGATGTGGGACAGAGAACGAGAAAACTGGAGCATTGTGGTACGCCTTCCATGTCTGAATACTACCTGCATCGGTAGGCTAGATGCTAGCAATGCACGCATCACACTTGCTGACTTGAAACTCCCAATTCAATATCACTTGCTTACTGAGCTGATCACTAGACCAGTCTAGTGAGACAGGCAAATCTCTTTGAATTCTGTGCTCCAACAAGCCTCTTTGCGCTCCTCTCCCTTCCTGATCAACGTATATCTGTTTGTTTTGCAAGCTAAGCAAGATCCATCTGTCCACTCATCTATTCCAAATTAGTCCTCCTCAGTAATCCTTTCTCAGTGTTTCATTGGATTGATAGACCTGGCCTTAAAGTGAAAAGCCTTTGCGCAGACAAAGTCACGTAGTCTTGTCGATTTTACTATTTTTAGCAGCCGCAGAGACAGACGTATTTGGCTGGTGTGTGCGTACGTGTTAGTGACTGTCCTTCTCATCCACGGAATTAACATGAGTAGCAGGAAGTCGCGACTTCAGGTACCCAAACATATTTTAGTAAGTGCTTCGCTTCTTC